GCGTTTTCTTCACGTCAGCCATCACGTTATCTACCCGATTGTTCACTTGGTCGAATCGGGTTTCAGATTTCTCGATTCGGGTTTCAGCTTCCGACAGGCGGTTGTCATGTTGAACAACCTTATCCTTCACCTTCTTCATCTCCATCCCGAAGGTAGCGTGAAGGTCCTTCATGAGGAGCATCTGCTCTTCCAACCGACGGGCCTGTTCCTCTTATCCGCCCCGCAGCTGCTCTTCCAATCGGCGTGCCTGTTCCGCCTGCTGGCGGGCCTGTTCCGCTTGCTGGTGGGCCTGTGCCTCCTGCTGCTCTTTCAACCAACGGGCCTGTTTCTCCTGTCGACGGGCCTGTTCCTCCTGTCGGCGAGAAAGTTCGAGTGTGGGGCTTCTAGAAAGTTTAGTTCTTCAATTCGATACTAGATGGCGCTGTTGGTTGAAAGATTAGTCATGTCATTTTCTGGAAAGCTCTCCTCGCACTGTTACCCGACACTAGATGGCGCTAGTGCCAGAGGTCAACAATATTATAAAAATAAAGATAAATACCATTTATAAGATAATTAGAAAATTTGTTAAAAATTGTCCAAGTCATGGAGGGAGTTCGTGTATAAAAGAAAATTTTCCTAAGTTATGGAAAGTGTTCGTGTATAGATGGCTTGTATGGAGGAGCTGCCGGAGACGCATACCCAAGGTTGTACATATATATGGGGTGGTCGGGTGCCCGACTGCTTGAAGTACTGTAGGACAACGACTAGCCATATAATAGGGACTTATGATAGTAAACTCTATGATACAAAAGCAATACTATAGAAGGTCTCTATGATGAATTTGCATTACAATAGTAGAGTCGTGGGTTGAAGTCCTACATATTAATGACTTATGAAAGTAAGGTCTATGATACAAAAGCAATACTATAGAAGGTCACTATGATGAGTTAGCATTACAATAGTAGAGTCGTGGGTTGAAGTCCTATATATTAATGACTTATGAAAGTAACGTCTATGATACAAAAGCATTACTATAGAAGGTCTCTTTGATGAATTAGCATTACAATAGTAGAATCGTGGGTTGAAGTCCTATATATTAATGACTTATGAAAGTAAGGTCTATGATACAAAATTATAGAAGGTCTCCTTGATGCATAAGCATTATATGGGGTGGTCGGGTGACCGACTGCTCTTAGTACTGTAGCAAAATGACTAGTCCTTTATTAGGGACTTCAAAAGGATTATTATGGTGGCGTGTATGCTGCTTCACGATCAATTGGTCCGAGGTAAACTTGGACTCGCTAACCGATGTATCCTAGGCATATGATCTTAGTGCCTGTGGTAAGCGGGTTTGTTGTAGCAATACGGCTTTCCCGTGGACATCGCACACCCATACCATATGTGGGCGGCGTCGTAGCGCATAGCGATGCGTCGTCTATCTTTCGGATTAGGATGAGTGTGTTTGGTAGCACTTTTAATTGTAACAGGCATACTCAACTTCATGTCTTAGTGCATTAGCGCTATGATACGTGGAATTTTATTCACTGGTTTCTTAGTAGCGTGCTACTATGATACGTTGGTGATATTTTTTAGTTAACAACAATACAAACTTTGTTACCAAAGTCGATAGGGATCATGTGGGTGTGTTGTGAGGGGGGCGCCATCCATATAATAGTTGCATTAATGCTTACTGCTTCTTGTGGTATTGCGTCTTGTGATGGATCTGCGGGTGTACTGCGCCTGATTCGACGCACTCTTGTGGTCCTGGTCGATGGAGGTATGCGGGTTGTGATGTCTGCTGGGAAGTATGAGGGATCTTGGGATGGTGTAAGCTCGACAATAGTCGTATTGATGCTTGATGCGTTCTGCAGCATTGCGTCTCTGCGATGGTTGTTTGGTGGGACGCTATTGTCAATGGTGCTCTCTGCGTCTTGGTTTGACTCACACCTAAGTAGCCTTACCCAAGTCCCAAGTCCATTACGGGGCTGCTGACTGTCTGCCCTCCATGATGTTTTATATAACAACGTAATAATATATCTCTGTAACTTTCCCACCTTTGAATGATTGAAGTCAACTGGTTGGTGGGTGAGACAAACATGATCGAAAATGCATTTACTCAACGTCAGTGACACAAAACCTTTCTGATGGCAAATTATTACTAACATCTTATAACTACCTTTTGGCTATATCTGCCGTTGTATCGGTTGATGGAGCATATGTGTCGACTTCATGCGGGTGATAGCTGGAGGGAGGATCTGAGAAGACGATCAAGGCTGCGGCCGAAAGCCGCACAACGTGGGACCCCATTCCCTTGAGGTGAGCGGTAGATTCATGACACGCTCTGCGGCTAGTAGCCGTGCTGATCATGCAATTGGTGGTGCTGCCATACACTTACATCACGTCTGCAGGAGCGGCGGTCTGGCAGATGGTGGCGCTCACGGAGAATTTACGGCCAGTGTGCTTATTTGCCTAAACCGTGTGACGTACATTCACTGTGGCTGGATTCGTTCGTATTCTGTATGGCGTTTACATGCATTGACATGCGCGACTTCAAAAAAGTAGATGTTTGTGCTTACGCACTACCAAGGGGCCAAGCCCTCTTTTACTAGTTCGCCAGTTATTTTGCTGTGGACTACGGTCCAGTTCTCGAATTAGCGTTCCTTTCGGGGGAAGTGCACCATAACGGTTAGCGCTCACCGCGCACGGCGTGTGTGGGGCCGTGTGCCTCCCTACATTTTTTTAAATAAATGTAGGAGAGCGAAGTCCTTGTTTCAGGTATTTTGTATAAATTATATTGTGAGCCTTTTCCAAGCGGTAAGGGATAAATGATAATAAATTAATAATATAAATCTGATACAAGTGGAATAGGGACGTTTTATGTTATTAACCTTTCTCGAGCCCTGTCTTCGTGAACGGGGTTCACTTAGCTTATAAGGCACTACCAACAGCTTTCAATTGCTCTAGTGAATATTCATTCTTCCAAAAGACACCTAAAAGAACTAAGTTACTAAACAAATACAACGTAAATAAGGGTCCTAACAAAGACGATCAGAGACCAAGACCAAAAATATTACAAACGGCCTATTATTAAACCTTTAGAAAGATCATTTGGATAGATTAAAATATATTTTATTTATCCTGATCACATATAAATAATTTTATTGAAAAGGGGTAAATTAATTATACATAATATATTTTATTTATTTATTTAGGGAGGGGGGGGGAGCGTTACAGAATGTATCGAATTTCTTCGTTAGGTTCACTCTTTTTACCGACAAGTTTTGTCGGGAACTTGGCTGACGACGGACTGTCGGCCTGTTTTGTCGCTTGAATAATGGTTTGAAATGGATTTTAATTCGTAAAAACGATGTGATTTTGTGAATTAAGTGTCTGTGCGTGTGAACTATTAGAGAAAACGACAAAACAAGTGCTTTGATGTTGACATAAACCTCAAGTTAATTTGATCGCTTGGGCGCCTTACGAACTTGAGTGGCTGTCGTCATCAACAGTCCGCTGGGTTGAGCTGTCGTTAAAATCTCCCAAAAACTTTGCAATGTAACGCATCAGCATATTGTGAAGAAAAAATACATAAAATGAAGATTCTGAAAGAAATGATAGGCTCAGGAGGACTAGTACCCAGAGCCGTAAAGTCAGTTAAATATAAAAAAATCATAATAAAAATATTAATAAATTTGCAACCTTCCGCTAACTAAATACAATGATGTGTCTTACCTGGATTGAAGAGCACCTCCCGCCCTCCCTCAATTGCATGCACTAATTCCGTCAACACTAGTCCCAGCACCACTATTCCCAACACCACCACTCTTGTAAAGAAACACCATCGACGATAACACGACACGTGTTTCCTCGGGTGATGACCGCTAAGTTAGCGGCGAGCCAAAACAGCTGTTATTTAGACACGCCGACACAACCGCTCCCCACCAAAGTAGCGAGCAATCGCGCCGAGGGATAACAAACCTGCGACTAATTATCATTATTACTATTATTAATTTTTTAAAATATTATTATTATTATTGTTTTTTATTGATATTATTATAGTTATTTATTATTATTAATTTTAAAATTATTATTAAAGATTAGCCTTAAAGATGTTTAACAAAGGTGAATTAGAAACTTTGTATGTTCATTCAGCAGTGCATTGTTACCATTACTATTTTTTAAAATCTCCAACTGTTCCAGCACACACATTCGCAGCCCTTTATTACAAGTATGTAAAACTTTAAAGGAATGGTCGTTGGCTAGGTTGTGTCTAGTGTCCAAGAGATGTTTAGCAAAACGGGAAACGGGGCTCTTTATAGCGCGTCCCGAAATTGCGACCATTATGACCCACGTAAACGGCGTGGCATTCGTCACAAACAAGTTTAAAAATACCCGATTTTTAACTAATATTGAACTTATCTTTGTTATTACAAATATTCTTAAGAGAATTGTCTGTTTTGAATGCCACATTAACGCAGTTTTTTTTTAAAGAATATTAGCTATTTTTTCTGATATGAAGCCTAAACGTTACTGTTCACGGAGACATAGCTTCATAGACGCTTCAAAATACGCCGTGCAGCTTGTGCAGCCCAGCGTACTCAACTCTGTCCACGAGGCGTATTGCTAGCGTACGTTTACAATCATTTGTGAGAATGTCGTCGAACGAAGAAGACGTTAGTTTGGCTTATTACTACATTCGACGCCGAAGACGTCGATTATATTGGGTGCATCCATATATAGAAAAAAATATCAACTATAGATTGTTTGTTGCGGCAAGAGAATTATTAGAAGATGATAGTGTATTTCACTCATTCTATAGAATGAGTAAAACTTATCAGAATTTACTGCAAATCGTAGTCCCTCTGTTACAAAAACAAAACACCAATATGCGAGAATGTGTCAGCCCAGATGAAAGGATATTAATAACATTGCGGTAAGTAAAACAATTTTAATTAAAATATTTTTTATTTAATTATCATGCAAAATCACAGTTGAAAAATGGACATGTACTTATATCATGTTTATTCTATTGCAAAATCTTCAAAATCGTTAATATTTTGGGAATAATTAATAGGGGTCAGTGTTAAAGCTTGTGGTTGTGAATACCCAGAGAAAACTTGTGAGTCGGTGGAATAATTCATTGGAGAAGGTATGGATGGGACCAGTGGAGTATGGGAATTAACGGAGGGAATTGGAAAATAGTCTCTATATTGGCGCAGCTGTGACTGGATTACTGAAGACGTTGGTTTTTTAATTTCTTCTAGAAGAATCAATACTTTTATTCTAAAGGCGCTCATTTGTTCATCTGAAAGACTTTGTATGTCGGGTAGCAAGCTCAGAAGGAACATTTTTCGTGCATCATCTTATTAGGTTTTTTGGTTTTTAGCCAGTCCACAAAAGCCTTATCAACTTCGTTATTAACAGGTTTAATTCGTTTTTTTTTTGTTTTTGCAACGACGACGACGGCTTTTCAACATGGGAAAGAGTTTCTGAATTAGTTTCTTCCGTAATATTCCTGTTATAATCAACGTCCCGCTCTTCGGTGGACGCAGGTTCCTGATTGAGAGGCGATATAATTCAGGATTTGGTAAATTTCCATTTTCTTCAATGTGAATGACTGGTTTTACGTATTGTAATATAAACTGCATCTCATCGTGCAAATAGTTTTTTTTTCTGGTGGTAGCCGATCCACCAGCCTTCGGTTTTAAACATCGAACAAAACCGTTTCTAATATTTTTCCATTTTTCCTTACAATCGTTTACTGAAACAAACAGATTTTCATTACATCTAAATACTTAGGTATTAACTTAAGGATTTTCTATTCACAAATATATATTTAAAAGATTGACGTGCAGGGCTATTAAACTCAATCAAAAACAAAAACGGTACTCACTACACCTAAATTACGGACTATGAAATGTTTAGATGTTACGTTTCATCATTCTAGTTGGTAACCGACGATAACTTAGTACCAAGACGACGTTTTGACAATTCGTAGCACGTAATCTAGATGTAGTGACCATCGCTTTCATTGATAACTGACAAAATAGCTCTGCTGTATTTTGTGCACAATAAACTGATAATAAAATAAACAAAATATAATTTATTTTCAGGTATTTAGCTACAGGCTGTTCGTTTCGAGCATTAGGACTTTACTTTGCCCGATGAGAATGTACAGTGTCACGCGTAATATCAGAAAAGACTAAAATAATATGGAATGCATTGAAGGATACGTACATGCCTGTACCAACTACTGATGAATGGAAAGAAATTGCGAAAAAGTATTATGAACTTTGGAATCTACCCAATTGCTTGGGTTCTATTGACGGTAAGCACATCAGGATACAGAAATTCCCTAATACAGGTTCAGCCAACTACAATTATAAGGGATATCATTCTATTATTTTGCTTGGATGCTGTGATGCAGATGGATATTTTACGAGCATTGAATATGGATTTGCGGGGGACGGAACAGTGACGGAGGCGTGTTCCAAGTATCAGCGCTTGGGCAGTGGTTGGAAAGGGAAGGTTTAAGCATCCTAACTGAATTAACACCATTGCCAAATGATGCCACTGGCAATCGTTTTCCTTACTACTTTGTGGGAGATAATGCATTCCCTCTGAGGAAAAATTTATTGAGACCATATTCAGTTAGAAATCTGCATAATGTTAAAATAATTTACAATTATAGGTTAAGTTGCGTACGCAAAAGTATTGAATGTGTTTTTGGAATGTTGACACAAAAATTTCAATCACTACTGAAAGCTATATCGTGCCGTAAATACTCAACAATAATTTCAATAGTACAGTGCGCATGTATTTTGCATAATTACATAAGGAGATATGATGGTGTTCAAAACACAGCGACTGCAAACAATTCAAATAGTTCCAATATTCATCGTGTACCAATTTTGATACCGAACATGACATTTGTAAATACACCAAACGGTTTACGTAATTATTTAGCAAATTACTTTTTACAGCCTAATGTTGCTCTGCCATGGCAGTGGAATAATTGCATGATTGAATAAATGTTAAGTATTTAAGTACAAAATAAATAAAGTCGATACTCATTCGTCCATTGTATTTCATTCGCCACCTCACTCCAAGCCTTTTAAGTTAAATCTTTTCTAGAATATTCAGCTAAATTATTGTTGTATAAACATGGATATTTTTCTACTATCTGAACAAATTTCGCGCCCGCTGCCGCCATTTTTACGAAAATAAACACGTGTGCTCACACGATGTACGCTCGGCCGTATGACATGCGGTACGGCAGGCGCCATGAAGCCTGCATGCAGCGACGCGAGCGCGACGTAGCCGCTCCGTCGACAGAGTTACATAGTTTTCTATGTAAGCTGCAAGCAGGCGTACACCAAGCGTATAATGACGAATACGCAACTACGAAGCTACGCCGCCATGGACAGTAGGCCTAAGTCTACATCACCTGAGGATGCCTCATGTAGAGGCGAAACACGTGTCATATTATCGTCGATGGTGTGTCTTTCCTGGAGTAGTGGTGTTGGGAGTAGTGGTGTTGGGAGTAGTGGTGGGAATTGCATGAATTGAGGGAGGGCGGGAGGTGCTCTTAAGGTGAATTAGTGGAAGGTTGCAAATTATTATATTTTTATATATGGACCGAGAGCCTGATTCTATATTTTTTGGGGGAAGGATAGGTGCTGGGATTTAGTGCCCCCTTTTGTAGGCAGTGCCCAGTGTGATTACGCCAATACATTTTACACCTCACCATCCGCGTCGCGCTTCGTGCCGAACGGCTGGTATTTTAGACAGGGCCTTTTATAGATTACCTGACTGACTTAGGTAGGTTCTCAGTATGTCCGATAAGGACAAGGGGGAGCCCCCACCTAAACCCAAACCAAGAAGACCACCCGACCGTCCTGGTGTACTTGACCGACCAATCGCGTATCGCGATATCTTTTATCCAGAAAGGACTAGAGTAGTGTCCTCCTACTCACAGATCCCGACACGGAAACCCTCCTCACCGGGTAAGGAGCCCGCACCGAGGACCGCGCTCTCGCCCATCGTACCTGAAGGTACGACTGGGCGGGAACCGTTCCCCCAACACCAGCGGGCCAAGAAGACGTTGAGAAGGTATACACCACCAGAGACAGCAGCATCCCTCCAGGAGAAGAGGCGATGCTTCGGTTCCTCAAACTCCTCGGATTATTCAACATCCGAGGGAGAATCGGACCACCAACCAGAGAAACCAATTAGGAGATCACCACCCAAATCGCCATCGCCGATTAAACCCCCCCCCCCCAGAACACCGGAACAACACACCAGTATGGATGCTGCTGATCTGGAACAGGGAGGAGAAGGGTCATACGGGTGGAGTGCCACCACGTACGCGACCCTAGCGCCGAGTACATCTGCCGGACAGTCACCGTCCGCGCCTACAACCAACCCGTCAGGCCGACCATCGGACGATGGCCAAAGGCCTTCAACTAGTTATGCCCAACTGGTAGCTGCCCCGGCAGTACCAAGGACAAAGGCAGCTGAGGCACCTAAACCGCTGGAAGAATCGGCCAAAAGATACCCACCTATAGTGGCTGAGTGCTTACCGGACTGGACGAAGCACTTCGAGGTCCTTAACAAGAAGTTGGGCCACCCACCGAATGCTCGTCCGTTCGGTAAGGGGGTCAAATTCACCCCTCAGAGTCCTGAAGAATTCCGGACGGTGCAGAGATACTTAGTGGAGATGACTGATAAAGTACCAGCTATGTCCTGGTACTGTTATACCCCCGAAGAGGACAAGCCCACAAAAGTGGGAATACGGGGCTACCAGTAGGCACGGATCCAACCGCGATAGAGGGGCTATCAGGGCCAAGGGGTTCCCGATCAAGTATGTAAAAGGGATCCCCCCCCCGTAGAGGCAGACCTGGGTGCCTCTACTTCGCACAGCTGGACCACCTGAGCCTGGAGCGCCTAAACGAACTTTATCAAATCGACGAGCTCCTCTTCATGAGAGGAGTCGTCATAGAGGCCTGGCAAGGAAGAGCGGGCCCTTCACAGTGCCACCGCTGCCAGGCCTTTGGACACGCATCCACTAATTGCTTCAGGCCAGTGAAGTGTGTTCGCTGTGCCGGAGATCATATTGCCGGCAACTGCCCAAGGGGTAGAGACGAGGAACCGAAATGCGCAAACTGTGCTAAGAATCACACCGCCAACGATCGCCGCTGCCCAGTCCTGAGGAGGATTGCAAGGAAGCAGGGGATTGCTCTACCGGGACTACTCCCAGAGGAGCCCAAGAGGGTCCCCCAGAGTCGTCCCAGGGCCGTAGTCCAGGAAGACTAGACTAGACTAGAAGAAGGGTGGACTACAGTTAGAGGAAAGGGAAGGCAACTTGCCCCCCCTCCACCCGTCACGGCACCCATAGAACCGGTGGTGCCCACCACTACCGCATTAAAGGCATCCACCGGGGCGACTCTCCAGCCCCCCCGCTAACGACGCCATAGAGCGACAAACCACTCAGTGGAGTAAGCGGGGGAGGAAGAAGAAGAAGAAGGTGCAGCCTCCTCCTCAGGCAGCAACCTCTACCCCAACCCCAGCGGTAACGATAGCCCAGGCGCAGGTTACCAAGGAGGACAAGAAAGCCAAAATGGGTAGAGTGCCAGAAAGGGCTCTATCAGAAAATAGAGCGCGCTCTACCCACACGCAAAGAGCAGCAAACCAACTCCCGAGACCAGCGCCAACTCCTGCACAGGCACCTGGAACACCTTCAGTCGGCTTCGAGACTGCTGACGCCATCCAACGTTTGGTTGGCATAGCAATCGAAGTCGGCAGCCAGGTCCTGGCAGATATCAGAGCCGGGACTGATCCTATTACAGCAGTCATGAAGGCGCTGGCAAACCTCCTAGCTCGACACTATGGAGGAATCTAACCTGCGCCTCCTCTACTGGAATCCAGGTGGAATCCAGCAGAAGCTACAAGAACTCCGCACCGTCGCCCAACAACAAGACGTACAGGTCATCTTGCTGGGAGAGACGAAACTAAATCCGAGCACACGCATAAAGCTGCCTAATTACCATCTTTATAGGAGGGACGAGGTCACCTCTCAAGGGGCCGCCTACAGAGGGACGCGATCCTAGTGAGAAGGGAATGTCCATAGAACTTGGAGGCGGGCGAGGAACTTAGGATCTACGCAGCATACCGCCCGCCAGGGACTCCATTTTGCTCCTCAGACGTCCGGACGATAATGGAAGGCGAAACACCGACCATCATCGCCGGGGACCTAAACGCCAAACACCCGGCGTGTGGATCTAGACTGATCAACCCCCGCGCAGCCGCCGGGTCATGCACTTTTTGAAGACGCCGAAAGATACGGCTA